TAATTTTCCTGTCTATTAATTCCTCCTGTGTACCTATCCAGCAATACGGACTAGCCTGATTGGAGGCGAGAAGAATCTTCCGGCGTTGGAGCACCCCGAGTGGAGGAAAGAGGAAGTTGCAGTAAAAATCTTATACTGACTTTTTGAAAACATATATATATATAAGGGGTTGGCAACTCTGATTAGAAAAATAACGACGGAAAGTGGGTACAAAGAAAGCGGATTAAGTGGGATATAGAAAGTTATAGAAATAACTACGGTGGGAAAGGAATTGTTTGGACGTGGGGAAACATAAGAGTGTAAGATGTCACATACAGGAAAGAAAGGAACGAATGGAGGAACCTCTGGCGATAGGAGGGGCTCCAAACAAGAGGCAGACTTCAAGACAGATATTTTGAAGATGTTTGCGGAAATTAAACAGAGACAAAATAATTTAGAACATAAATTAGAGCAGGTTGATAACAAGATTGGGAAAATGGATAAAAAGATGGATGAAACTGTTAACGAAATTAAAGGCCAAATAAAGGAAGTATTTAGGAGAACGCAGCTTACAGAGGAAGGATTAAAGAGGACAAGGTTGGAACTAAAGGATATGAAAAGGGATAAAGAAAGGATCAAAGTAGAAGTGATGGATTTAAATAAGGCACAGGAAGAGATGAAGGATATTATAGCGATGAATGAATTGAGGCAGAGGGAGGTGAATCTGAGACTTAGAGCGGTGCCAGAGATACAAAATGAAAATATTAAGGAGAAACTGATAATAGAACTAGCGGAATGGATGGGTATTGCAGTTGAGGAAATGGCCAAAAATGTACAGAACGCATTTAGAATGCGGGTTAAAACAACTAGAGTAAAGAAATTTACAGGCGACTGCCTGATTACATTTAAGGATAAGGAAATGAGGAATAGGATCCTTCAAAAGAATAGAGAAAAGAGGTTGAATATAGATGGAAATTACATAATTATCTTTAAAGATATCCCAATCAGATTACTTAAACGAAGAGACTCTTACAAACGATTGGCGCAGACATTGAAGAAAAATAAAATTGAATTTAGATGGGAATTCCCGGAGGGGCTATCATTTACGTATAGAGGTAAGAGGCATAGGTTATCAAACCAGGATGAAACCGGGAAATTTCTGAGGAAATATAAGGAATTGAGAGTAGAGGCAAATGGAGCAGAGGGAGCAGAGGGAGGACTACCAGGAGAACTGGGAGAAGAGGAGGGAGAGGAGGGAGGGGGAAGCGGATCGGACGAAGAGGTAGAGGAGGAAGCAGAAGACCCAACGAATTTATAAAGAAAAGGAAAACATAGGTGAAGGTTAGGCACTATGGGGTTAAAAATTTGGAACTGGAATATTAATGGGATGAATGAGAAAAAAAGGAACAAAATTGAGCAATTTTTGAAAAAGAAAAATTTGGACATTATCTGTCTACAAGAGACGCATGTAGCCAGAAGGCACAAAAAAGTGTTAATTAATAAAAGATTGGGAAATGAATTTGAATCTTCAGATAAGGAAAAGAAAAGAGGGGTGGTATTGTACATTAAAAATAAGATCGAAGCCAAAACAATATTCAAAGACGAAGAGGGGAGGATGATAGGGGTTCGTCTTAATTGGCAAGGAGAAAATCTAGTGGTAGTTGGGGTGTATGCCCCAAATGGCAACAAGACTGAATTCTTCAAAAACCTAGAAGAGAAGTTACTAGAATATGTGGATCAAAAAATTATTCTAATGGGCGATATGAATGGGGTGGTTTCCCTAGAAGTGGATAGATTGAGGGAGGGAGTAAGTAAAGAAGGAAAACTACCGAAATCCTTCTTCTCAATGGTGGAAAATTGCAATTTGACAGATATTTGGCGCCTTAGACACCCGCTAGATAAACAATTCACTTTTCACTCTGAACCTAACCAGTCGATGTCACGTATAGATCAGATATGGATTTCAAGTGAGTTATGTCCAAGAGTTAAATTAATAGAAATAAGACCGAAAGTAATCTCGGACCACAGTCCGATGGAGTTGGAATTGGAAAGCTTAGAGACAGGAACTTTTAGATGGAGATTGAAAGATTATCTTCTGGATGACCAAAAAATTATTGAAAATGCACAGGAAAAATTGAAGGAATACTTTGAGGACAATTGCGACAAAGGAACAAAGATTAATGTAGTATGGGATGCCAGTAAGGCAGTAATAAGAGGATATTTCATACAACAGAATGCAATTAAAAATAAGAATAGAGAAAAAGGTAAAGAAGAAATTCTAAAGCAGATAATGGTAAATGAACAAAAACTATCTCAGAAACCTAACTGTCAGAAGGTAAAAGAAAGAATCAAAATCCTACAAGCCCAATTTGCTACAATAATAAATAGAGAGGTGGAATGGAACATCAAAAAACTAAGACAAAAAATTTTGAATTCTCAAATAAAGCAGGCAAATGGCTTGCTTGGCAAATTAAAAAAAGAAAGGAACAGGGGGCAATAAACAAAATAACAGTGGGGAGGGAAGAAATAACTGACCCAAAAGGAATTAGGAGGGAGTTCCTCAATTATTACAGAAGTCTGTATAATAATAAAGAGAGAAACAACTCAAGGAAGATAGAGAGATTTTTGAAAGATAAGAGGGTGCAGAAAATTTCAAAAGACGAAAAACAAAGACTGAATACCCCAATTGGAAATGAGGAGATAGAGGAAGCAATTAAAGACTTAAAGAGGGGGAAAGCGCCAGGCCCTCACGGATTTACAGCAGGCTATTATAAAGAGATGAAATCCATTTTGGTGGGTCCTTTGAAAGAGACGATGAACAATATTTTAAGGAAAGGAGAAATCCCAGAGACCTGGAAAGAGGCATACATCACATTCATTCCTAAACAAGATGCAGACCTAACCCAAGTCAAAAATTATAGACCGATCTCACTGTTAAATACAGATTATAAAATATTTACAGGAATCCTGGCAAGGAGGTTGAAGAAGCTGTTATCAGAAATTATTCATAAGGACCAGGCGGGATTTCTGCCAGGTCGGCAGATAAGAGATAATACAAGAAACATAATTAATATGTTAGAATACCTATCTGCTAGGATTGATAAACAAGTTATAATGATGTTTGTGGATGCCAAGAAGGCTTTCGACAATGTGAGATGGGACTTTATGTTGAAAAATTTAGAGTATATGGATGTGGGAAATGACTTTTTTAACGGGGTAAAAGCAATATACACAGAACAGAAAGCCAAACTGATAATAAACAACACTGTAACAGAAGAGATAAAGATTCAGAAGGGAACAAGACAGGGTTGTCCACTCTCCCCGTTATTATTCATAATAGTATTGGAAGTCCTCTTGAATTCAATAAGACAAAATGGAAACATAAAAGGGGTGTTAATCGGACAGAATGTGTATAAGATCAAAGCTTTTGCCGATGATGTAGTAATAATGACAGAAGAACCAACAACTGCAATAGAACAAATATTAAAGGAAATAGACCAATTTGGAGAGGTCGCAGGCTTTAAATTAAACAAGACAAAAACGAAAATGATAGGCAAAAATGTGGACCAAAAGACAATAGAAATAATTCAACATCAATCACAGATAGAAATGGTCAAGAAAGTGAAATACCTCGGTATTTGGTTAACACCTAAAAATATAGACCTATTCAAAAATAATTATGAGCCGATGTGGAGGGAAATAAGAAAAGACTTGGAAATATGGGGAGGGTTGAAACTGTCATTCTGGGGAAGAATTAACACAATTAAGATGAATGTTTTACCAAGGCTGTTGTTCCTATTCCAAACCATTCCTATAATTAAGGGGAGCCGAATCTTTAAAGAGTGGCAAAAAGTACTTTCAAGATACATCTGGCAGGGCAAAAAACCTAGAATTCAGTTCAAATTACTAACAGATATAAAGGAAAGGGGGGGCTTCGCCCTGCCAGACCTGAAACTATACTACGAGGCCTCATGCCTATGCTGGATAAAAGACTGGGTAAAGTTGGTGAATAAAGAGCTACTCGATTTGGAGGGCTTCGACAACAGATTCGGCTGGCACGCCTATTTATAGCAGAATAAAAGGAAAGTACATAAGGGATTTGAAAACCATATCTTTAGAGGGCCACTAATTGAAGTATGGGAAAGGTATAAAAATCTGTTAGAATTCAAAACACCACATTGGCTATCACCTCTGGAAGCAATGAGTGTGAAGACTATTAATATGAGAAGCAATTGGGCAACATACAGTCAGTTATCAATTAAGGAAGATGGGAAATGGAAATTAAAACCATATGAGCAAGTCAAGGAGCATGTCTATGACTGGTTACATTATTTTCAGGTGAATGAGATGTTTAGAAAATATATCAAAGAAAGAGGTTATGTAGATAAAGATTCCAAATTTCAGATAGAGATTATATACTCAGATAGAGAAAATATATACTGAACTAAAGAAGATCTTAAAATATACGTTCACAAAGAAATCAGAAATCTTCCTATTAGGGATACTGGGGCACGAGATAAAAAAGGAAGATTGCAGATTAGTATATTATGCAGTTACAGCAGCAAGGGTAGTCTTAGCCCAGAGGTGGAAACAGCAGGAAATACCAACGGTGGAGGAGTGGAGATTAAAGTTGTTAGACTACGCGGAATTGGATAAATTGACAGGAAAAATTAGGTATATAAGAGACCAAAAGTTCATCAAGGATTGGGGAAAGTACGTAGATTACCTGGAATATATTAGTGAGGGACAAACAACGCTAAAGGGATTTAGAGATGCACTGTGAAAGACTATGAGTTATTGTACAAAGAAAATAGGAGACAGAGAAAGGTATAATGGCAATAGAAGCCTGGAAATGCGTAACTTTAATCACTACTTCGAATGATTTACGGACAAGCTGAAGGAAGTCTTGAAAGGGATGGCTAAGTAATTGGACTGATGTGAAAATTATAAATTTATGTATCTTTTTTCCTTTTTTGTTCTATCTTTGTTTGTTTGTGTATTATTTTTCATTGTTTTCTATGTTTACTTGTGTGTTACTTTTTATTTTCTTATGGAATTAACCAATAAAAAGAATTTAAAAAAAAGAAAGAAAGAAATCTTCTAGTGCTTTTCATCAACACACCTTGACAGTAATGGGTTCTGAAGGAATATTTCACATTCACTTATAAGTCTGCATTAAATCCATTATCTCTATGTACATGTGCTGTGGGGCATCATATCCTATGATAAAATCCAGATGTTGCCATTCAGGAATATCCTTGTGGTAAACTAAGTTTGGGATCTGAGGCAGTAAGAGGGCCATGTCCTTTGAGTCTGCAATCCAGTCGTTACCACCACTCCAGACAGCTGTTGGAAGAGTCATCCGTTGTACGTTGTAGAAAGGCGGTGTTGACTAAAAGAAAGGAGATTAAAAAAGTTTAAAAACAGTCTGCAAAGACTCCCTGATCAAACACACACACTTGCAAAACACAAACATATCTAAGTTGAGAGTTGAACCATTAATGTGCGTAACAACTGGCCATTCATCAGAAGTTGTGCAAGAAAGTGCACATAATCCATCCATGAAGAGGAAATTGTGCAGATTGCCTGGTCAATCTACATCTCAGGGTTGTGGTTCCAGCCTCATGCTGGGGGGGAAAGTCCTGCATTGTAGGGGGTTTGACTCAATGATCCCTGTGATCCTTCCCAACTCTGTTATGTGATGATTCTATGATTTTTTGAGTACCTGAACTTTGTTCTTGTCCTTACTGTTACTAAGCAACTGAGCTTGTTTGTTTGTTTGTTTTTAATGGCAAGTGGCCGAGACCCTGGGCTGCAGGCCGCTCTGCCTGGCTGTAAATCCAGCACTGATTGTCTGGATTTACTGATTGTTCCGAAAGAATGAGATGATTTTCATTAAGCCCAACTATAACTGAGCATGAATGTGCACTCTGCCTCAAAGGAGTGCACAGACACTTTGACCCTTCTCTGGTCTCACTACTGCTGCTTTAGCATTAAGGACAAAGCCAGGCTCATGGTTTGTCTCACTCCAAACAAACCACAAGATGGAACCAAAGTTTGTTCTCATATTTACAACTCATGCAGTGTCTGGAGAAAGACAAGCCACATGCCTGGGTTGAGCAACTTGCTAAACCAAACTACGGATTAGTGTGCAGAATCGCAACAGCAGGAGAGTCAAGGGAAGTGTGAAGTGGCCAGGATCTCCTCTCAGGAAGCTCTTCCACACCAGCATTCATGGCAAACTTTGATTTGGCTTAGCGTTACCTACAAACCAGCTCAGTGTCTTTGACTCATTATTCCCAACAGTCATCCTTATTCCCAACAGTGATTCTTCCTACTGCTCCAGCTTTGTTAGCACTGAAGAAACATGATTGCAGTTTCAAGACAGACTCTTCTGGCAAATTTCAAGTATGGCTGTTGGAACCAGACTTATATCTTAGTTAGCTAATGTATAGAGGGATAAATTTGAAAGAAAGAATGGAAGCAATCCTTGTGGGTGTGATGTATTGCTTTATAAAAAAATGATCTTCATTATATGACAGGGGAGTGAAGATAGGCACCTGGCATATGGCAGATTTGTCAACAAATTTACATCCCCATATTACATTTGAGATATATTTTTGGGATATAGAAATTAGATATTCTCAATGGAATCTGGAGACCATTCCCTATAGTAAATGTGCATCAAATTTAAGAGATATTTTAGCATATCCTAAAGTAAATCCAGGGACGCGGGTGGCACTGTAGGTAAAACCTCAGCGCCTAGGACTTGCCGATCGCATGGTCGGCGGTTCGAATCCCCGTGGCAGGGTGCGCTCCCGCCGTTTGGTCCCAGCGCCTGCCAACCTAGCAGTTTGAAAGCACCTCCGGGAGCAAGTAGATAAATAGGGAACGCTTACCAGCGGGAAGGTAAACGGCGTTTCCGTGTGCTGCACTGGCTCACCAGATGCAGCTTGTCACGCTGGCCACGTGACCCGGAAGTGTCTCCGGACAGCGCTGGCTCCTGGCCTATAGAGTGAGATGAGTGCACAACCCTAGAGTCTGGCAAGACTGGCCCGTACGGGCAGGGGTACCTTTACCTTTACCTTTACCTTAAAGTAAATCCAAAACCTCTTTAACCCCCTAGATATTATCAAGCTGGACCAAATAATTCCCATGTGGGAGTTGTAATGGTGGTAAAAGGTATTCCTTGAGCAATCCTGATTTTAATCAAATTTACCACCTTAATGAAGCATATAACCACAATATTCAAGGGAGTGATTAATGAAGGTAATGCCCTGACACATTGGCATGGCCACAAGAAAGATTAAGATCTGGACAGGGGAATGCAAAAGTTGCATAAGGACCAAAAAACTCAATGTGTCATTGCTTAAACATTGTATAGAGGAGCAGCGTGATGCTAAATCTAAAGTATTGGTGCTTTGAGAACATACATGGTTCAGAGAAACAATTATAGACACAATTTAAAAGGAAGGAAATAAGAGGGATCTATATTCAGGTAGGTAGCCGTGTTGGTCTGACAGTCGAAATATATAAAAAAATAAAAAAATTGTCCAGTAGCACCTTAGAGACCAAATATATTTGTTCTTGGTATAGGCTTTCGTGTGCATGCACACTTCTTCAGATACACAGTGTGCATGCACAATAAAGCTTATACCAAGAATAAACTTAGTTTGTCTCTAAGGTGCTACTGGACAATATTATATATATATATATATATATATATATATAAATATAAATATATTGAGAGGAATCTATAGATTAAGAACAGTAGCACCTGGTGGACTTACGAAGAACATAAAATGGGTGACTGTTATGCAACATGTTGAATACGTACTTTTATTGGAAATTATGCCACATTTCTTGCCATTCCGGTTATTATTATTGTCACTGTATTGACACAATGTATGGAATTTTTATGAAATGGAGCTAGATGTTAGAATTTTTCAGCTCCGGCCCATCTGGAGCTGATACGGCTCATCTTGGATCAAGCCCAGCAGAGTATACATCCAGTGTCCGCAACGAAAGGATGAGGCAGGTATGGTGCTACATTGCTAAAAGCTTTATTCCTAAGCTATGCAGAGAGCATACAAATATACATCTTGTCTCTGTGAGAAGCAGAGAGCAACTCCAAGAAAGAACGACAGAACAAAGGAAACAGGAAACCAGTGTACGTCACATCCCTTCTCCCTTTCCCATGGGAACCCAACAGCATCTGGACTCTAGAATGAAAACATAGTCCCATGACTTGCAGCTGCTGCTCAGTGAAGAGGGAAACAGAAACCTGATTATCCATGCAATGGCTATTGTTCGTAAAGTAATGGCAGATCCTCTTACGTGAGTTCATTGAAACCACCCATGACCACTGCACTGTCAAATGTTATTTTGGCAAGTTTTTCCATTTGTTTGTGTTTTTGTTTGTTTATTTGCATATGCTCCTATTTTTGAGATATGGTTCCATGTTGTATGCATTGCTTTAACAGATGGTTGCCATTAATTTATTTATTTTGTACAAAGCTGTATCAACTGAACATATTGGCTTTTGACTTCACATAAACAAAGGTGCTATTTAGATCTGATTTGGTGAGCATACTGTGACAAAAGTCAGGTGCCTGCCTGTCCCACTGCTGAGTGGTGGCAAGAGCCCATGGGGTCCCAGGCACCCATACAGGGTTTGTGTCCCTTTGGAGAATAGAAGACATGGCAGACACTTCTGTGGCTTTAAGAAATATTCTTTGGATTTACGTAAACAAAGAAGTTAACATATTTATGGGCACAACAACCGTTTAATTTTGTGTATGTAGAGCCTAATGATAAACTTCATTTAAGTCTGTTACCCTTGACTTTTTAATTTTACCTTGGAACTTCATATTATCCACCCTGTATTTTATGAACAGCAGCCTTTGGCACGAGTACCTGTGGCCAAGCCTTACCAGTATCTACCCTCATATAAACACCTACAGAGAGAAATACTCAATTTGTGAGAAATTCTTACCTGGTTGTGGTGAGCCATGTTTGCTTCCTTGCTTCCCCAGTCAAAGCCTTTGAACTTCCCAGCCTTCACAATCTGGAAAAGAGGTGTGCCATACTTTGAAAAACCAAATGGGCAAAGCAGATGATATAGAAGTGTGCTATATGAATAGACCGTGGTACCGGCATAAACAGGGATGTTGAATGTGTCAAAAAAACCGCTATGTTTAAGGCTATGCAATAATGTCTAACTTCATCTTTAGTGAGAACAAAAGTTAATGTAAACATACAAAAAAAGCTACACAAAGCCATCTGAAAGCAGTAGACCTGTTTTTTTAGTACTGCTCAACCTTCTAAGTCTCCTCAGTTTATCTGATATCTCGAGAATGTTTGACACGTGTCCTACTAGAAATGAAGTGTTACTAAAGTGAATCAGGAAGAGGTTTGCATTGGAATCTGGAAGGAGCACCTTGCAAGGAGCTTTGACATCCTTGATTCATCTAACAGATTATGAACAGGTTGGATGCCCCACCCTGTTGTTGAACTTTGCATGTGAAACTGATCCTGATAAGAATCAGGCCTGTGGAGCAAAAAAAGGTTCCCCAGAATGGATCCAAAATAGAGAGCAGGTTCAAGGGAAGCAGTGGCTGGGAAGAAACAACTCGACTGTGGGATATATGAGCCTCAAATAACCAGCATGTTTAACCCTAGTTAATTCATGAAGGGTTTAAGACAGTCCAGCCAGGCTTAACTAGGTCATTCCCCCTCACTTTGGAAGGAAGGGCTACCAAAGCCATTATTCATTCTCTTTTCCACCCTGTGAATCCAATCAGAAAGGACATCTTAGCTAGATGCTCCAAGCTTCTACCGTATGGCTTTAGCAAGCCAACTTTGTGTTTCTATACAAATAATTCAGATGACACTAAGTTAAAGTGCCTGTCTTTTCTTGCAACTCTTATGGAAAAGCACATGACTCTGTACATAAACCATTTATAACTTACCAAACATATGCTCTTTTTCTATGCTAAGGGAAAGAAGGGGAGTTTTGGAAGAATCTTAAAGGGAGATATTTAAAAGTTCTAACAGCCTATATTTCCATGTTTTGTGATTTTTAATTTCTGCTGGGGCTCCCTCACCAAAGTGTATTTGCCCCAAACCTGGATCAAGGCATGTAGGGAATTCTCCTTTTATTCTTTTAAACCATTTACAAACAAGCATTAATATCCAACAGAAATGACTCTCATGAACAAGTCAGGTCTACAATGCCTCTTCTACCGCAGATAGGGAAAAAAACAAACCCATGTTATTTAGTGCTACAAGTCTGTGACTTGTACCTCTTTGTCAGATTGTTCTGTTCTACTGCATTCAAGATCATGTGCTCCCAAATCATAGTACTGCCTTGCCTGCCCAATGATATGAAGACACACCCTTTGCTAGCCAGGAACCATGCTGATGCTTTGGACTACAACTCCCATCAGCACAAGGCAGCATAGCCTGGCTGATGGGAGTTGTAGTCCAATCAGGTGGGCAAAGGTTCCAGTAGCACTGGGTTCCTCACTGAGACACAATTCAGTAAAATATCACAGAAATGTAGTATTTTGTCCATCTACATGCAGAGGGACTATTTTGACAATAAAAACAAATCCATTGGGGATATTATTGGAGCCTTAGCTTTTGAAATACTCCTATTTGGAAACATTTAAACACAATAAAACTCTCTCAGCTTTAAATCCTTTTTCATAAAAACAAAACATATTTCTGGAGTATGTAAAAAGAGAGGCTGAGTTATAAATATTTTTTTCTTTTCATCGTATTTATTCATTTCATTCTTAAAAGTCTTTGTAAAAGCCTGTCCTGATCACCCATTCTTCAATCAATACAGAAAACTGTTTTTAAACAGAAGAGAGGGTTTTGGTGCCACCTGAGTCCAGTGAAGCATGTTCTGGATAGATGTCCCAGCTGGGAAGTGTGATAAATAAACATCGATTCGACTCTGTAAGAAAGCGCAAAGTGATTAGTTGAATTTATCACAAATTGCAACAGCCACTTCCCTTCCATTTGGTTTGTTTGAACAAAAGCAGTGCACCAGAGCTCAACATCGGGATGCAGTGGCGTAGCGTGGGGGGTGCAGGGGGGCCGGCCGCACCGGGCGCAACATCTGGGGTTAGGGCAAATCCACAGGTTACGGGGCGCAAATCCATGGGTTAGGGGGCGCAAATTACTTGCCTTGCCCCGGGTGCTGACAACCCACACTACGCCACTGTCGGGATATCACACAGGAATCCATGTTTACATAGTAACTCCACTCCACTTAACACTTTCCATGGGGCAAGCACAGCACACCATCCAGGGGGGCACAATACTTGCCTTGTCTCAGGAACTGGCAACCCATGCTATGTTACTACTCCTAGTGCAGGAGACACCATGGCAACCACACAGGCTTTTACTAGTGCCCCAGAATCTGAGCGGTGGTGGAGAGGAGTCTCTCTGGCCACTCCACTTAACTCTTTCCATGGGGCAAGCACAGCACACAGTCCAGCGCTAGGGTGTACAATACTTGCCTTGCCTCAGGCACTGGCAACCCATGCTATGTCACTGCTCCTTGTGCAGGAGACACCATGGCACCCACACAGGCTTTTACTAGTATCCCAGACTCTGAGCTCTCCTTTAAAAAACAAATCTCTATCCATCATAGACACAAAATGATGAGGCAAAATGTGCAGTTATCTTCTGTGTTTTGTCTAAGTGTAATTAAGTTATGGATGGCACAAGTAGCAATCACTTCAGAGAAGCCTCCATACACATACCTTTTTTTAGAGCACACTCCTATTAAGTAATCAGAAATCTTACCATATTGAAGTTTAGCACATTAAAGCCATTAAACAGGAATAAAACACTGCCACACAGATAATCCATTGGGAAACGGTTACACAAGGAAGTAGCACACCATTTCATTGTTCTGTCTTGAGCTAAAAACTGCTTAGTTCCAAACATTTTCTGCCAAAACAAAAACATTAGTACATACACCATTTTGTTAGTCAATTCTCTTTTTCCCCCTATGGATACTTCTAACGAGTAGCAACAAAATATTACAAAAAAAACTGTTATGAGAATCTTCCGCTCAGACATTTAGGATATAATACCCATTCAAATCTCACAAGCACTGTCAGACACCCTCCAAGTGTCCCTGTTTTCCAGAGGCTATCCCAGATTTACAGAAGCCATCCTGGTTTCTGATTTGATCTGAGAAAGTTCCACTGTTCCTTAGGATGTCCCTATTTTCCGCAGAGAAATGATGAAGGGTATGGAGTTTTGCAGCCCCCCAGACAAGGAGATAAGTCACTAGACAACCTTCAGAAGTAATCTGAAGGCAGCCCTGTATAGGGAAGTTTTTAAATGTTTAATGTTTTGTTATGTTTTCATATATGTTGGAAGCCACCCTGAGTGGCTGAGGCAACCGAGTCAGATGGGTGGGGTATAAATAAATAAAATAAAATAAAATAAAATAAAATAAAATAAAAAGATGTCCCTATTTTTTATAGGAGAAATGTTGGAGGTTATGATCCTCTGCAATATTTAAGACACAGACATTGTAATTGGAACCATCTAAGAGACCTGATGCAGTTCAGGTGCATCTTGCCATGTACACAGCGTGCAGCTGGAGTCCTTCTAAAGTGGTTCAGGAACAAGCTAGATGGTAATGGTTCCCACAACAGGAACACTAGTTCAGTAGGAGCCCAAATATGCAAAAGACATGAGTTATGCAAACATTTTGCCAAATGTCCATTTTGCCAAATGTCCATTTTGCCAAATGTCCAGTAGCTAAATAGATGTGCTTGAAATCATTTAATTCTCCAGTCATTTCAGGAAAAGTGCCTTACTGCTCTATTGTATGCCTAGTGACTTAATTTAGTGTCATGTCTCCTGACTTCATCCCCAGGCTGAGAAGATGAGAAGTAGCTATTCCTCAAATCTGAAAAGGACAGAAGTGTAGCATCGCAGCCAAGCGTGACTATAACATGGCGGGAAAACTGACCATGCTCCAATGTTGTTTTATGGATTTATAGAGCTAAAAGCAGCAGGGCGGAAGACATAGACAACACAGGAGACCCAAGTAAACAGCCTCCAACATGATCAGCGAGTGTCTCTGAGCCCTAAAAATGGGCGCATGTGCCTGTAAATATGATCAGCATGGCTCTCTTCCCCTACAGCTATTCATTGTTAATAAGGAATTAAGTCCGCAACAAGGAAGGAAGGAAGGAAGGAAGGAAGGAAGGAAGGAAGGAAGGTAGGTGGAAACGGGGCAGGGTTGCAGGGGAAAGGGCTTTGGCAATCCCACCTGCCATTGAACCCAAAAGGTTTTGACTCTACTTGGTTTTGACGTTAAGCAAGATCCCTGGAGCACAGGCTTACTGTACTGTAAATAAAGCAATACTGTTATAAATACATTCCCATGTAACTGTTCAGAATTATTGCTTTAATGGCAACTGAGTTACCCACAGGTGTGATCTGCCACCATACCGAAAAGTTTCTCATGGCAATTTTATTAGGAACCGTAGAGAATTGCGCCAAATTCTTTAATATGGGCACTAGATGCAAACAGGATCCATGAGTACAAAATACCAACACCTTTCTTTTTCTGTCCAGAGCAGAAACTGGAACCCATGGCACGTACAGCAAGGGAGAAGAACCAGCCCCTCATTCTTTTTACCCCAAAAAAGTCCTGGCACAGAACAGCCAAAGCGACACTGTGCTATCAAGTTGCAGCATTGACTAGCTTGAGCTCTTTAGTGGTCTAAGAGCATTATAAATGGCCTCAGGTCAAATGGAAAGGGCATCCCCAAGTACTGTATTTTTCCATATATAAGATGACCTGTTTTGACCCCAAAATGAGGTTCAAAATTTAGGGTCATCTTATACACGGGTACTGCTGAGAAGGGATGGGCGAATGGTTTTTTGGCACGAGCCCAAGACTGTAAGTGGTGATTTCAGCAACACGAGGGGAAACCACCTATCAGCTGCCCGATCGCCGCCAGAGGCTGCCAATCACACTCCTGCTTGCTGTGACAAGGGCAGCTGTCTATTGGCTGCGACAGTGGAATCGGAAGGGCTAGTGGCGACAATTGGGCAGCTGCAACATGAGCGATTGTGTGCTGCGTTCCGGTGGGTGAGCGATTTTCAGCATTCCCCCCCAAATAATCCTCCCTCCAAAGCCCTTATTTTCTAAATTTTGAGGCCCCCAAAATAGGGGGCGTCTTATATGTGTGGGCGTCCCATAGACGGAAAAGGATGGTACTTAGCTACATCCAGCAATATTTGCATTCTGTTGTCTGAACAAATATTTTGTCCGAAATACGTACTTTGAGCTTAGGTTCAGGAACCATTGCAAGTTTGGTCAAAGCCGTGTTGGTCAAATACTTTAAAGTGGCTACTGGGGCCAATGCAAAGAATATTTTGATCTTCTTGGCTAGGTGTGGCATGGTTGAAAATGCAATGAATGCTGGGGGGGGGGGAGAGAGAAATGAATAGAGTTAGCAATGTAGTCTTGAAAAAACCCAGTAACAAAATCTTAAACCCGGTTTTCACATAATGCAAAAGCAATCAAGTACACGGAATTGTGTGCCCTGCTTTTTAAAAAAAAATCAAAGTGACTTACAAGATTAGTGAAATAAAACAACGACAGCAATAATAGTAGCTAAAACTGAGGACAAGCAAATCTGAAGTTTAGTTCTCCATGTTTCTGGTATAAACTTTTTGTATCTGTAATTTTATGTAGAAATTGTTTGGTTTGGTTATGTAGTTTTTAATGTGTTTTATTTATTTTTATGACTACTTTGCTATATTTGTAATTATGTAAATCTTTTCATATTGTAAGCCGCCTTGAGCATTGTTTTAACTGTGGAAAGGCGACGTACAAATAAAATGATGGTGATGATTCCCCACCCATTTTTAAGTGCTTATGAAAATCATTTTAGAGCAATTTTCTTGAAGTTTGCATGATTTGTCTGCAACCTTATCCGGTACTCACAGTTTTGCAAAGCACTTTTTCCCAAATATAACGCTTTTTTGTATATATTTCCACTCATGCATTTTTACCCTAGTATATGACTTTTGTGCACATTTCTTGGATGCAGAATTTCTTTTCAAAGTCTAGAGAAGGGTGTATTTGGAAGGATGGTTGTGTTTCACCTCACATATCGTTTTGCAAAGTGTTAATGAAGTGGAATAGGCGCATGAAATCACAGTGAAAAATTGACAGAATAGAAAGGCCAGAAGTTTAAAAGAGAAGCAGCAAACCAGAACTCTAGGGTTGCCAGGGCTCTAGGGCTGACCTAGTCTCTAGGTTTGCCCTGTCCCCTCCTGGGGGATTGCAAGAGCTAGCTGTAAATTGTAACATTGGCTCTCTGGAGCGCGCGTGCGCGGGGGGGGGGTCTTCCCTCCTTCACTTCTACCCTCTCCTCATTAACCTCCATCTCCAGGGCTTTGTGGTGGGAAGGAGTGCAGAGGAAGAAAAGGAACTGGGCTGGGCTCAAGAGGAGGAGAGCCGTAAGAGTGTGCATATGTGGTTGACATAAGGTGTATTGCTGCAGAGCACATGAAGAGTAACAGCCATAGCTGAGACTTCCTCCCCCCCCCCCCAAAAAAAAGAAACCCCAGAGCAATTCTTGGATGGCTCTCAAATAAGTCAGAGGAGGCAAAGACAAAAATTGACAGACTGGAGAGTCTAGACCAGGAGTTGTCAACCTGGTCCCTAGTGGGTCACTAGGTCACTAGTGGGTGTTTCATGATTCCAGGTGGGCGGTAGGGGTTCTACCCTTTTCAAAACAGAAATCAATGACATGATGGAAGAACCCTGGAGGATTTTACCAAACTAAAATCTGGATTGAAGGCAGAATTACAGTTGCAAATGAAATTATTCAACCCCCATTGCAAATTGGGTTCATTATCAAAATCTAGAGACTTTCAGCAATGAGCAAATTAAAACAAAACACAATTGAATTGTGGGCCCAGCCGCAGAGCTGAAAATGCACCAGTCTCACTCTTGTTCAACCCCTTCATAGCAAGCATCTTTAGTACTTCGTGGAGCAAGAGTAGCTGTTCATGACATCACTGGGGTCCACCTCTGGGATCATCTTGACCCAGCAACCAGAGGAAGGGGGTGAGGTAGGCATGGGCCACCCCGGGTGTCACCACTGAGGGGAGTGACAAAATGCCAGGCCGCACTCACTGCGGGGCCTGCAGCATGCCCGAGCCACGCGTCTCTCCTGGGAGAAATGCGGTGTCTTGAGCGTGCACAGGCTCCGTGCTGGCCAAACGGTCCACACGCTGCCTCCCCCCCCCCCAGCTGTAGGGTGACTGAGTGGGAGGAGGCAGGCAGACTCCACCGCTGGTAGCAACCCTACTAGAAATGGTGTATAATAATCTACACATCACAACAGAAAAGGCCCTGCCTTGTTTCTGACCTACTTAAAACTTTATTGTGCTGCATATATTTCCTCAGTGGTGTAATAATTGTAAATTCACTTGCTTAATACATACTGTAGCTAGTAATAACATTAAGAATAATTTCATTATTTATACCCTGCCCATCTAGCTGGGTTTCTCAAGCCACTCTAGGCTGTACTAAGAACCAATAAACCATGAAATGACAGTCAGAGGTGAGGTGAATTTCAAACCGGTTTGGTTATAGAACTATGATTTATCAGATCAAGAAGGAGTGTTCAGCCAACAAGTTCTCTTCTCCTCTTGTCTCAGGGGCCTTAAGATATTTCAACTCGGGGTTATTAAACTATAGCTTTCTGTTACATCCAGACTAGGAAACTGTTACCTAAACTCTGACTGCAAACTAGGCTTGATACTGGTTTGCAATCCAGGATTTTAACAGTTTCTCAGTCCAGACAAACCACTTTTTATAATCCCCTTAACCAATTTGAATCATCACCTATATGGGAAATATCACTAAGAAAGAAAATGCAAAAAACCCAAGGGCAGGGATTGTTATTCAAGATGCTTCTCCATAGGTATCCATAGGTTCCATGGAACATCACTGCACTATGAGCAAGATGTTTTTTGAGTTTAATATACAACAGCAACTGCACAAATAAATATGTAGCTATTAGAATTGCCAGCATGTGTTTACGAATCTTGCTAACCTACCCATTGTGCTGCCCTCGGAATGACCAACATAAAATATTTTTTCCTGACCTGCTTTGTTCAGGACAAAGTTAATTGAAGCTGGAAGGTCGTATTTAGCCATTTCATCAAAACTGCAAAGAAAAAGGAACATATTTAACAGACATGTATATCCAGTGGGATCTACATTGTGAAAGCCTAAAATGCCCTGTTCTCTGTCCAGTGCAATGCAAGAACAAAAAGAGACACAGTGTATGGCACAACAGAGAACTGAGATGCAAAAGGCAACAGTAAGAATTGTGAGCAATATGACCTTGATCAATTGTCGGAGCCACCCCAGCTTGGGCAGCCATCCCCACAAGTCGACGTCGGAGAGTCCCTCGTGTTGTATCTCGTTTTGTCTTCCTGCTAGAGCTGTGGCCTTTTTGAATGCTGTAACTCGATAGTGTGACCTGGGAGTTTGATGGGTGTTGGTGTGGGTGTGGCTGGAATGTGGTTTGTTTGGTTGTTGTTGTTGTTTTGCTTTTGTTGTTTTAAGGGATGGCATCCAATTTCGTTGCACTTTGTGCAATGTTGCACTTGTGTAATGACAATAAAGAATCTATTCTATTCTATTCTATTCTATTCTATTCTAAAATATCAGTTTCAGGAAGAACAGTATTTATGCTGTGGGCAGGAGAGGACTCTGCTTTCCCTCCAACCCATGTCTGTCTGAGGAGCTTCAAATTCCAGCAAGAGATTCAGAAGGACCAATATTGAGTCTCTCCAGATCAAGTCTAATTGCACCTGAAGTTAAGCTGATCTGCTAACATCTATGAAGTTCACCAAGACCATATTCCCCCCAAGAACAAACAAGTTGCTTGTTTGTTTAAAGGAACAACTACCAATTTTACTTACTTAGAAATGTATTTCTATACCTCCATATCATATAAGAGGAGGTGGAAAAACATGGCTCCAGTAGGAAGAGCTTGACTAATTAAAATTTTCCCCAAAGGGTAAACTACGAACCAGAAACAAGATATTAGGTTTAGAAAGCTCACTCTACCTGAATAGCCAGAATTCTTGTTGCTTCTCAGTATAGTTGATGTGTTTGTTGGACCAGGTGTTACCTCTGGTGTTTCCGAGCCAAACATCATAACCAGCATCAGCCAATATAAATCCCAGGCTGTTGTAGTCCATATTAAGCACCCAGTTACTGCTAGAACCAAGCACACCATGCTGCAAGAACACTGTGGGCCTGGGACCTAAAAGTGAATAGTTATAAGCATAGCTACAATAAGTCATTTCAGTGTCTCCATCCAATAAGATGCAGAAGGGAAGGGCAAGGCACAGGCAGCTTGACCCAGAACAGCCTCGCATGGCCAAGCTCTCCTCACATTGCACCTCTGCTCTTCTTCCCAATAATCACCAGTGATGGTGGTGTTAAGAAGCCAGGAGAACAATGGTGCCCCGCTTGTTCTGCCTCACTGACCACTAGTGTGTATCACCTACTATAAACGTGGGATGCAGAGCAGCCCAGCAATTTCACATGTCTGGAATTTCAGTCTGGAATGAGTATCTTCTGAATGCAATATGGAAAGCAAGGTAGAGGTATTTTTAAGAACCAACATAAATCATCAGTTCAGTATTTGTCACATTTGATTTAAAAGTACTGTATGAGGAATCAGAACACTAGCCTTAATATTGTGAATGAATGCTTTCATCTATCTGGTATCATGTGAATAGCTCAACTATGTAGACCAATCGTAGGTAGCAGTGCTTGTTAAAGTATTGATTAGAGTGTTGATTAAGCTGAAATAATTTACTACTTGATCTTTGAACCTGATAATAGAGATTAAGGTAGGCAGCCGTGTTGGACTGACACAATTGAAATATAAATAAAATAAATAAAAATTGTCCAGTAGCACCTTATAGACCAACTATGTTTGTTCTGGTATAAGCTTTCATGTGCATGTATCTGAAGAAGTGTGCATGCACATGAAAGCTTATACCAGAACAAACTTACTTGGTCTATAAGGTGCTACTGGACAATTTTTATTTTTAATTTTTTTGTTTTGACTTATAATGAAGCTTGGCGCTGGAAGCAGGAGGCTCAGTCCATCTGCCCTTCCTTCATTGCACCACCTTTACTGCTCAGTTTTCAGATCATCCTTTAATCAAGCTTAGCAAAGGCAACGCCTTCAAGCTCTCCTACCACATTTTCATTGGACTGAACTCCTCGCCCAAGTAAAAGCTGCAAAGAACACACATAATTACATTGGGAAATTGAGCTGGCAGTGTCTACATTTACCCTATTAGCTCTTTAAAAAATTTTTCAAAAATCCTGCAGTGACTCACTCTAGATGGCTGAAGTACATATAGAATCATAGATTTCTAGAGTTGAAGGAACCCCAAGAATCAACTAGTCCAACCCCCTGCAACGCATGCATCCATGACAGATGCCCATCTGACCTCTGTTTAACAATCTCCAAGGAAGGATAGTCCACCACATCTCATGGGACTCTGTTCCCCTGTTCAACAGCTCTTATGGTCAGAAAGTTCTTCCTGATATTTAGTCAAAATCTGATTTCTTATAATTTGAATCCCTTGGCTTGCTCCATCATCCATGGGACAGCCCTTTAGATATGTGAAGATGACTATCATATCTCCTCTCAGTTTCCTCATTACTAAGCTAAGCCGACCCAATTCCCTCAACTGTTCCTCATAAGGTTTGTTTCCCAGACCCTTAATCATCTTTGCCATCCTCCTCTGCACACACAGAATAATAGAGTCCAACCCTCATCTAGTCCAACCCTCTGCAATGCAAGAATCTCAAGTAAGGCATCCACGATAGATGGCCATCCAATCCTTACTTAAAAACCTCCATGGAAGGTCCACCACCTTCCAAAGGAGTCCATTCCACTGTCAAACAGCTCCTACCATCTGAAAAGTTCTTCCTGATGTTTAGATGGAATCTCCTTTCTTGTAACTTGAAGCCATTGGTTCAGGTCCTACACTCCAAAGCATTTGTTAATATCTTTCTTAAATTGTGATGCCCAGAACTGGACACAGTATTTCAGGTGTACTCTGACCAAGGCATAATAGAGCTGCACTATTACTTCCTTTCACCTGGAGACTGTACTTCTGTTGATGCAGCTTAGAATAGCATTGGTTTTTTTTGCTATTGCATCACACTGTTGACTCATGTTCAGCATGTGGTATACTGTGTCTCCTAAATCCTTTTCATACATACCACTGGTAAGCCAGGTTTTCCCAATTTTATATTTGTGCAGGACATGACATTTGTCCCTACTGAAATTCATTTCGTTAGGCATCCACAATAGATGACCATCCAATCCTTACTTAAAGTTTTGGCCAGTTATCCAATCTGTTAATAGCAACTCAAATCCCAATTCTGTCTTTAGTGGCATTGGATACCCCTCCCAGTTCAGTATCTTCAAATTTGATGAACATCCCCTCAGTACCTTCATGCAAGTCATTTATAAAGATGTTGAATAACAATGGACCCGGACAGCACTGTACAGCACCCTACTTATCACTTTTTTCCAGGATAATAAGGAACCATTTGTCAGGAGTGCATGCAGGATCCAGACCCTGTGACTGGTAGGGCCTCGCAGGACTGAGGCCTTCCTGAGTTCCTGAAGCTCCTGCAGCCAATCAGAAGCTGTGGAAGCCCTGTCAGATATTTGGCTTCCAAAAATAGTTCGTAAACCAAAACAGTCACTTCTGGGTTTACTGCGTTCGGAAGCCAAAACTTTCGAAAACTAGACTGTTCAAAAACCAAGGTACAACTGTACTCATTTTACCAGCTTCTCTGCAAGAATATCAAGGGGGACTTTGTCAAAAACCTTACACAATGTCCATAGCATTGTACCTCCATCAAAAACTCCATCAGAAAAATAAATTAGATTAATCTGGTATAAGGTTTTCTTGCAATAAGTAAAAAAGTTTCCAAAGCAAGAAATTATTGTTTTTCTAACAAAAAAATTAAAAGTCCTCACAGTATTTGCATGTATACATAATATATACCTCAAAAAACACACTCACCCGATTTCTGGTTATTTCGTTTCCCATGAGGAATTCTGTTAATACTCAGGATATACCCATCATCTGTCACCACTTCATATGTCTCACTGGGATATCCTCTGAAAGAAATAATTTCACCCTTGGTGGCAGGGGAGAAAAGAAAGGTTTGGTTGGTGTAAGGCTTGGGTCTCTCCCACACACATGAGACGACTGCGGCAGTTGATTAATTAAGATTTATTGGTTCAACAAAATCCCTGGTTGGAAGTCCACTAATTTCAGTCTTCCTCTGATACCACTGTTGTCAGGACTGAGCTTCGTCTCCTTTTCCCCCAACAGGAAAACCCCACCTCCACTTCCTGTAATTTTCACGCTTCTCGGCTAACGCGATCAGGGTGAGTGCATTCTCTCTATTTCTATTTCTCTGTCTGTGTCACTATCAGAGCCTTGCAGATGAATTCCTGCTCTCTGTGTCTCTTCGTCTCTGTGTCTACAAAGGTCAAATTCCTGTGGCTAACTGCTTCTCTCCCCTCTTCCTCTGTACCTTCTCTTTCGCTGCTTGCCAGAAAGTCCAGTTCTCTGACAGTTGGGACTGTAAACTCCTGGACACTTCTTTTCCACAGAAGACTACATCTTTAGTAGCAATGGTTCCCAAAACTCCACACAATCCTCTTGGACCACTTGAAAATTGCTGAAGATCTTTGTGGACCACTTAGTGATTTTTCTTCATGCTGTTGAGCAATAATAATGCATAAGGCAAGGTGCTAAACTTGCTACTGCTGATACCTAAATGAAGCCCAAAGAGTGCTGGGGTTACATGAAGCAGATGTTGGAGCTACTTTGGGAATGCTTAAAAAACAAAACAAAACAAAAAATGCTGCAAGCTGCCCTGAGCAATGATGCATTGAGAGGGCAGGGTACATACTTCAAAATCATCATCATCATCATTTTCTTGTGCCTGCTATCCCAGCATTCCATGAATGTGGAATATAGCACAATTAAGCAGCACTAATAACCATAAATGCCTTGAGTTAAGCAAATAAAAGAATAAAAAGATAGATGGCTTACAACATCCATAGTAGCTTCTGGGTGTACAGTTCTTCTTTTCATAAACATTGCTGAAGTAACAAGGGCTTGGACCAATCCTGCCCCCATTATGAAGAGCCACATCCTTGAAGTGCATGGAAGCAAATCCATCTTTCAGGGTGAAGTACAAGACTAGGCTCCACAAAAACTGGATTAAAGAATATGCGCTTTAACCTATATCACTTACTGGAGAATGAATTGGCAGATAGTGTGGCTTAAATAGGTTGCCACACTTCACCAAGTACAACACGTTCCTGGAAGGAACAGAAACATCCTCTCTAATTGATATCATTGGTTCAGTCTTGCCCAACTCCCAATATCATCTTACGCAAACTTCTCTTTTTCATATTTCCAAATTAAACACATCAAATCAATTAGTCCAAATTATAACAATACATATCATATAACCCAATTGTTTTCCAAATTATAAATTTTTGTGGGGGGTACCCATGCTTCTTGGTTGGCAGGACTCCAATCCTCGAATATTTGTTCTGCTTCCATATTAAGAATGATGTTTCCAGTCTCCTCTTCTCAATACTTGTCATTACTCATTTCCCTTTCCATTCTCCTTCGATTTGCTCCGCAAGTGGGTTGAAAAAAACAGTCTTATTTGTATTTCTGTGTGGGCTTTGTGCTGCTCTCTCGTAAATCACTCTCCTCCAACAGTCCTTTCCGCTCTAGCGAGTAATCGCCATTTTTGTCGTTCCGATGAAATACAGTCTAAAACTCGCTCTTTAGCTTTTCCGACCTGTTGCATTGTAAATTAGTCTTTTTCCAGGAGGGCTGCCCCTTCCAGTTCGCAATCTCTTCGAAAATAATATATCTTTGGCTCGCCCTCCCCAAGACCAACTCCAGCAACACAGGTCTCTTATCAAGTCTCCATTCTTACTGTGTCACAAGAGAGAGCCCTTCTTCTTTCCAAATCCTTCACAGAGTAAAACCTTTAAGTTCATAATTATTCCCACACAATTCATTTTTAGTCCCATTTGCAATTAATTTCTGTGACGGATCTTCAGAGGGAGGGTTATTAGCAATCACATAGAGCAAAAGAAATAAAAACTCGTCCCCCCCTTAGTTCCAATCCACATACCATATCTGTAGTGCTTTGATGTAATCTTCCATCTCAGTCCGTCTCAGTCTTCTTCCTTTCAGTGGTAAAATTGTTAGCAGATAAAAACTTCCTGCCTCTCTTGAAGCATGTGCGTTATCTTTCCCAATTTTTTTCCTTTTAACGCAACTAGTTTCGCACCTGGAAGCAGCTTCAGAGGAGTTCCGAGGCCCACCGAGGGTTGTGCACCCAGTGCCTCACCCCTCCTTCTTCCGAACTCGGGGGTGATTTATGGCAACAGCGGGTGAAAACGGCATCTCTCCCCCCTGGAGAGATGAAGGGAGACTGATATACTCCCCATAATCAGATCTTACGCAAGCTTCTCAGAAGGTATTTCCACTGACTTCTGTGTGACACCTTTCAAGGCAAGTAGGCATGGGACTGCAGTCTCAGTTCAACAAAAGATTAGTCAACATGTAACAGATCATTTAGTGCAGCAGTTAAGAATACAATGATCAATTTGCAGGTAAACTAAACTGCTACTGGTGCAGGGAGGACAAGTGCCAGAGCACAAGGAATCACCGTTTACCTTCTCATCTCAGTGGTACCTATGTATCTACTTGTGTTGGTATGCTTTCAAACTGCTAGGTTGGCAGGGGCTGGGACAGAGCAATGGAAGCTCACCCCATTGCACGAATTCAAACTGCTGACCTTCCAATCACCAAGCCCAAGAGGCTCAGTGGTTTAGATCACAGTGCCACCTGCGTCCCAGGCATATGGAGTTAATGTTGGATAGATGAAAAAGAACACTTTGCAAATGTGGTTGACATGCACAACGGACCTTCTGAGAAAGCAACCACACAGAGAGGCAGCCACATCCAAATCACTCCATGGGGTGAATCTGCTTCTAGAATTTTCCAGAGAGTTATGGAGGTCACTGGTTCTCCACAGGACTGTAATCAATACAGCAACTACTTGGTAGCCTCGTGTATATTGTATAATGTATAACTCAAAACTACCCAAGAGAGGTGTTTTGAAACAGTTACTTACCCTTAATAAATCAGGATATGCGTAAGCGAAACTTGCCCTTGGCCTGTTTAGCATGTAAAGGACGCCAGGATCCAGCTCTTAATGATGCCTTTCAATTACATGCACACCCAGAAAGTGCATGCAATGGCTTCATTTGATGCAAGAATTATAAGCCATGCTCCTCTATTGCCCCATATCTTCTGACTTATATTAAGTCACCATTTTGTGAGTACCAGCAGGATATGTAGTCCACATGAAGAAGAAGAAGAAGAAGAGGAGGAGGAGGAGGAGGAGGAGGAGGAGGGAGGGGAGGAGTTTGGATTTGATACCCCACTTTATCACTACCCAAATAATAATAATAATAATAATAATAATAATAATAATAATAATTTATTATTTGTACCCCGCCCATCTGGCTGGGTTTCCCCAGCCACTCTGGGCGGCTTCCACAGAAACCAAAAATACAGTAAAATCACACATTAAAAACTTCCCTGAACAGGGCTGCCTTAAGATGTCTTCTGAATGTCAGGTAGTTGTTTATTGCTTTGACATCTAATGGGAGGGCATTCCACAGGGCGGGCGCCACTACCAAGAAGGCCCTCTGCCTGGTTCCCTGTAGCTTTGCTTCTCGCAATGAGGGAACTGCCAGAAGGCCCTCGGCGCTGGATCTCAGCATCCGGGCAGACCGATGGGGGTGGAGATGCTCCTTCAGGTATACTGGGCCAAGGCCGTTTAGGGCTTTAAAGGTCAACACCATCACTTTGAATTGTGCTCGGAAACGTACTGGGAGCCAATGTAGGTCTTTCAGAACCGGTGTTATGTGGTCTTGGTGGCTGCCCCCAGTCACCAGTCTAGCTGCCGCATTCTGGATTAGTTGTAGTTTCCGGGTCACCTTCAAAGGTAGCCCGACGTAGAGCGCATTGCAGTAGTCCAAGCGGGAGATAACTAGAGCATGCACCACTCTAGCAAGACAGTCCGCGGGCAGGTAGGGTCTCAGCCTGCATACCAGGTGGAGTTGGTAGACAGCTGCCCTGGATACAGAATTGACCTGCGCCTCCATGGACAGCTGTGAGTCCAAAATGACTCCCAGGCTGTGCACCTGGTCCTTCAGGGGCACAGTTACCCCATTCAGGACCAGGGAGTCCTACACACCAGCCCGCCCCCTGTCCCCCAAAAACAGTACTTCTGTCTTGTCAGGGTTCAACCTCAATCCATTAGCCGCCATCCATCCTCCAACCACCTCCAGGCACTCACACAGGACCTTCACCGCCTTCACTGGTTCTGATTTGAAAGAGAGGTAGAGCTGGGTATCATCTGCATATTGATGGACACCCAGTCCAAACCCCCTGATGATCTCTCCCAGCGGCTTCATATAGATGTTAAAAAGCATGGGGGAGAGGACGGAACCCTGAGGCACCCCACAAGTGAGGGTCCAGGGGTCTGAACACTCATCCCCCCCCCCACCACTTTCTGAACACGGCCCAGGAGGAAGGAGCAAAACCACTGTGTAACAGTGTCCCCAGCTCCCAGCCCCTCTAGACGGTTCAAAAGGATGTTATGGTCGATTGTATCAAAGGCCGCTGAGAGATCCAGCGGAACTAGGAAACAGCTCTCACCTTTGTCCCTAGCTCGCCGGAGATCATCAACCAGGAGTCTCAAAGCGGCTAACGTTCTCCTTTCCCTTCCTCCCCCACAACAAACACTCTGTGAGGTGAGTGGTGCTGAGAGACTTCAATAAGTGTGACTAGCCCAAGGTCACCCAGCAGCTGCATGTGGAGGAGCGGAGACTCAAACCCGGTTCCCCAGATTACGAGTCTACGGCTCTTAACCACTACACCACACTGGCTCTCAACTGAGGGAGCAACTGGGGCAACTGAGAATAAAGAAGCATGTGGGTGGGGAAAACATGACTTCTAAAAGAACACAAAAGCTTTAGAACAGGGGAACACAAGTTGGGGAAATACGAAAAAGCAAAACATGTTTGTTGTACAGAGAAGAGTGGAAAACTGAAGAAGAGGAGTGAAAATCCCAACACCCATACTTGCTACAGAAAAAACTGC